ATAGATACATGGCCGTTGAAAAATATATTCACACTTCATATTGTAATACCACAGTCTAACAAAGAAATTGCAAATATATTTAACAAGCAATAGATACATAGCCGTTGAAAAATATATTCACATTTATACCACAGTCTAACAAAAAAATACTCAAACCACAACATATTGTAAAAAAAATATGAAAAATACGCGTATATCCTATTTTCATACCTTGCTTATCAGCTCCACTATTTATTTAAAAAACGGCTTTTTTCTCTTTTGTATGTGGTTAGGTGGGTACATTTTTCCTTTCTTTTATTCTTTTCTTTCGTATGTGAGTGGTGGGTACATTTTCTGTTTTTTATTCTTTTTTTATTCTTGCTTTTCGTATGTGGGTGTTTTACTATTTTGAATATATAAACTAAAGTGTCCCAAAGTATTGTTAATATTGTAAAAAGATAATTAAAGTATACTTTCAAAAGAGAAAAGAAGAGACGAACAAAATACCATAAAGTGTTAATATAAAAGACAATAGAAAAGTGTATTTTTGAAAATAAACAAAAAAAATCTCATTAATAAACGTGAATTTTAGCTATTTTTAGATATCACATGCATGTAATTAAAGTGATTTTAATTGGTTAATTTTAATTTATTATTACATCATGCATATGATTTTATTGGTTAATTGTTAATTTTAACCAAAATTTTATACGATACAAATTAAAATAATTATTTTATTATATTTATATAATTAATATAATTATATGGCTGTAAAATAAAAATTATTTTTTATCCAAATTCTATTTGTAGTATCATGATTTGGTAGTTGGCACCTTTCTGAGAAAGGGAGAAACGAAAGAGAAAGAAAAAAACGAAGAAAAGGGGAAAGAAAAAGACGAAGAGAAGGGAGAAGACGAAAGGGAAAGGAAAAATATAAAAATTATAAAATTAAAAATAAAATATATAAAAATATAAAAATATAAAATTAAAAAATATAAAATTAAAATATAAAAATATAAAAATATAAAATTAAAATATAAAATTAAAAAATATAAAATTAAAATATATAAAAATAAAACATAAAAATAAAACATAAAAATAAAAAATATAAAATAAAAAAAATATAAAATAAAAAAAAATATAAATTAAATCTCAAGCTCGAAGTCGCCGTAGGTGCCTCCTGTTACGTTGGCGTCTCCTACTATGCCGCGTTTCTAATAATGTAAATAAAATAAATTTAATATAAATAAATATAAGAATTAATTAAAAGATCTCTAATAATTACCGGGCTGCTCCCATAATCTGCTTCTGAATGACCGATAGTAACGCTGGCCTGTTCTGGTCCAGCGACCTCTACTTCCTCCATTTCTCCACTCAACAAAATCCTAAAAATATCAACACAGTTAATACATTTTTTTTTATTATCTTTATTTTATTATTGCTTTACTAACATTGAAATTCCGAATTAAATTTCAGAATCGTTGCTCACACTGTCTTGCAGAGCAACGAAATCGTAGGTCCTGGTAGAGTCGTCTTGCAGTTGTCTCCCAGAAGGAGACCCTACTTCTACCATCCATATCGTAGTAGCGCTCATTACCACGTCTTTACATTATTGTTATTTATTGAATTATTAGATAAAAGAATAATGTAAGTAACATAAAAGAAAGAAGACATCTAGAAAGATATTTTATTTTACCTTCTTTGTCTTATCAAATGGTCAGTAGCTGCACGGGTCCATTCTATAGGCATGATTAAAATTTGTTGAGAAATGATTATTTTTTTAAAAAAAAAGACGTATACTTCCCTTATAAATATTTTCTCTAGTTTGAAATTCTGTTTATTTTAGTTAACATTCAAAATAATATATGCAAGTAATATGTTTAAGATATCTGCAAAAATAAATTTCTTTTTTATTTAAAAATTAAAAACAATATATGCAGGCAATAAGATTAAGATGCCCTTGCAATATATTTATATCAGACAATTACAAATAATAAGTTATTATCTAAAATATCGAACGAATTCAATCGCGTTAAATATGAGTTCAACTCGAGTTCAATTTGAGTTCACACGAACTAATTTATTTCACTAGATATTATGAATTTATTATACTATTTTTTATTTACAATTTTAATCTTTTAGTTTATTTTTTCTAATTGTAAAATTAAATCATATTTAATCAAGTTAAATCTAACAAAAATTAACAATTTCATCAACGCAAATTCAAACTCGAATTCAACTCGAGTTCGACGAGTTTCGAAACGATTAAATTCGCTGGATATAATAATCTAACTACATTTGTACATGCCAATTATATTAATATTATAATATTAACCCTTACTTATGTTTAATTGTGAAACATAAATAATACCGATATCATTAAATTTTGATTTTTTCTTTGACCATGCGAGTTGATATGTCGTACAGTGTCAGAATAATATAGCAATTGTGGCTGTAAAAGGCTGTGCTTAATCGTAAAAGGAAGTTTAACATTATTGTTTCATCATTCATTTCTTTAAACAGAAATTCATAACATTTATTTTTATCTTATGATAGTCATTTTATATTTTGACAATAGATAATAAATTCCATTGTTATGTAACATTCTTCAAAAATGAGATATTGGATCAAAAAATAGGAGATGGAGCACGAGAACTCGGTTATTAGAATTTAGAATTATGATTACAGTATAAAATTGGAATACATACATTATGTACTGTGTGAATGTGTGATCTCGCGAGATGAGAATGTCCGGTTTCAAAATTAATATAAAGAACTTTAATTCGGTAAACATATTTATTTTACTTTTTTTTCGCTTATTTTTCTTAATCGAATTTTTCTATATTTTTTTTCACTAATATTTTATATTATGTCTAAACGTAAAGCAGTTTATAATAATCAAGTAGAAGTTGAAACAGGTATTTATATAACTTTTTGTAAATACAATTATATTTTTTGCTTATATGTAAGGAAAATAAATAGTAAAATACCAAAAATATGTATGATAGGAACGAAAAAAAATCCAAGGACTTTA